CTACTACCGCTAAAATAACAACCGTGGATACAATTTTCAGATAACGGTATCACATATAATGTAAGTATCAAGGGCAACATACGCCAGATTGCGCGCTCTTTTACTGCCCTTCAGGCACCAAAAAACTGCGCAGCATAATTTATCCGAAACTTTGCGCGGTCAAAGTGCACTGATGTGCTGCTTAAGTTCTTTCATTTTCTCGAATTCAGATTCTACTGAGGCGAAACTATTCATTTTAGTTATGAAAATTTCTAAACAGCTTAGATCTAAGACCTGAAATGGCAAATTACATGTTACGTGATTGGTGAATGAATTCCTTACATATTCAGATACTAGTGTATTTGGATAAGAACGATTTATAAAATCGGTAAGCTCAAATTAGGCTATGATGACTTCGACAACCTCTATTTCCTTCAACCAAAAACAACCAAAACTTCAAATGCAATGGCGTAAAAAATAAAAATGAGTAACTTAAGAATGGAAGCCTGTTTCAAGGAAAGAAACAATTGGAAATGAGATTGCTGCTGAGATCAATATAGTCTACATCGACCCCTACAAGGTTATTATCCATGGTTTATTTATGACGTGAAAATGTGTACTTTGCACCATGTAAACGGACCAAGTCACTAAAAAGAAGGAAGACCATAAAAGTAACGTGCCGGTTTCAAAGTAACTGATTCGTTATTGAAGAGGAATGAGTGTTAAAAGCAGATATACGTGGTTCTTCGGGATCGTAAAAAAAAGTGAGGAAGCAGGGACCTTGGACTCCTGCTACCGGATGCTAACAAAACCTCCCTACAATTACGTTTTTGACAACAAAAAAGAATGAATGAGAAAGTATTCATCATGGACTCATAAGACATCGTGTGTATCGTAGCCAGTGATGAAGGCGTTCATCATTGCATCAAGCAACGATGGTCGCTTGAAGCGAATTCGGAAGGTGTGCATAATACCGCAATCGGTTTAAGGTTAAAAGAGAACTAGACAAAGTACCGAAATGTTGCAATAACACTTTTAAATTTGGTTTACTACAAGTTATCTGTCGAAAAAGGACCTTAATTGCTGCTGAAATGGGACGGGATATGGATAGAAAAAATTAACAATACGAAGGCGTATGGTAAAGACTAAATTGAACTCTGTGACAAGCACCTAGCATTAGTTGCCAACGATGTGGGAAAATGTGTAGTCTTACATCTTGCAGCTAATATAAATAACCCGATGACGATCTGATAAGCGATTCAAAACGCAGGGAAGCAAGAAAGCATGAAGCAATAAGCAGAGCTCCACTTCAAGGCAAATCTTCCCATGTGAACTAAAAATTCGCAGATTCAATCAAATGAGGGGGAAAACCATAAACGTACTAGCTTATTGCCCAGGTACTGAATGTTAACAACTTCACCCGGATATGTGTTTGCAGGATTAGGTCCAGGTGGATCCCCAGCAGCGTCACCAAACTTTTTCCAACCCTTGCGCTTAGCAACAGCTGTAGGAACTTGAATCTTTTGGATGGTGTACTCCCGCGTTTCCTTGTATATTGCACCATCATCATCTGATTCATAAGTGATTACTTTTTTGGTGTTGTTATCACGATCATAAATGACCTCCTCACCCGGAAGAGGAGCATTTTTGGGAAGTATGATCCTTTAAAAAAAGATAAGGAAAACAAAAATCAAACACTGGTTGCACATGCAATGGGAAACAAGGCAAAGCAAGCCTAAGAAAGAGCCGTTGTGGCAAATCGTATGGTCATCAAAATCAAGAAGAGCTTCCCCAAATAAAGGTAGGATTAGAGAGAAAGGAGTCAACTTTGTAAAGTCCATAAACTAAATATTTGACTCAATACAAGCGAAAGCATACCCTTTTGTCATCCAGTAGCAATAAAGGCTACACTAAGTGTAAACACT